GTGCAGTTACAGTTTGTAGTTACAGTCTGTGGTACAGTGTGCAGTTACAGTTTGTAGTAACAGTCTGTAGTTAGTCTGTAGTAACAGTGTACGTTACAGTTTGTAGTTACAGTCTGTAGAAAAGTGTGTAGTTACAGATGTAGTAACAGTGGGCAGTTACAGTCTGTAGTAACAGTGTGCAGTTACAGTTTGTAGTAACAGTCTGTAGTTACAGTCTGTAGAACAGTGTGCAGTTACAGTTTGTAGTTACAGTGTGCAGTTACAGTTTGTAGTCATGTGCAGTTACCATCTGTTGTTATAGTGTATAGTTATGTTTATAGCAATGGTGATCTGTGAGGATAAGATAATCTCTATAATACTTTTTACATATGATTCCTTCAAAAAAATTACGGTAATACATTTGTTTAACGATGACAGGATTTAACTCGCCTGTTAAAAAAGAAAATTAGAGTTTTTAAAATGCAGAATCACAAAACATATGATTCTAGAGAAAAAACACAAGTAAGTATTACTGCTATTTTATACTGGGCTTAAATATTGTCAGTTTGTTATCTAATATTTCACTCTGTTGCCTTGGCATAATTTTTTCTTCCTTTTCAGACACTTTCATTTCGAGTTCATTAGAAGTACCTTCTGTTTCAAGCTGACACTCATATTCACAATATTCATTACAAAAAATCTCATATATAAACAGGAAAGATTTATGTTAAAGTGCTATGAGTTACCATAAGTGTCCTCTATGTTACCCACGTGTAAATAACAACACTTAATTTCCCAAAGATAAATATGACAGTAATCTTCAGATGTCTTTTTCACTGTGTCAAACTGACAGTATCTCCTACATGATGTACATCTGTAACAGACCTTATATATAAAACACTCACAGTGATACTCTATTAAGTGCAGGTGTGCTCTGACTTTTAACCTCACAGTGTCTCCTACATGAAGTACAGCTGCAATCTACCTTAATAATAAAACACACACAGACAGAACCACTAAAGTGCAGATGTGCTCTGTGTTCCTGACACATACAGACCCGACAGAACTGTGCATGCTGAATGAACAGACAGAGCGTTTGATTGGCCCACAGACACAGACGACTAACCTTATTAGTGGAGTCCTTGAAGCCACACTCTCCTTTATCGTACCACCACTTGTTTTTCATCTTGTCTAGGGTCCCTTGCTCATTCAGTTTCAATACGGCAAGGTTTACTGGCACTCTTCAATGGGAATAACATAAATAACATCATTATCAATGTTATCTTATGTTATTAGAGGGGCAGCGGTTCTCAAACTCTGGTCTTGCAGCCTATGAAGGGCCCTGAGATGTTAGGTATCACAAACTTTAATCATCAAAGGAAGAGTAGTATTCAGAAATGTTAACTTATTTTAAAATAAAAATATTTGAATCATTCAGGAGAGATTTATTGTCAGCATTTGATGATCTCTCCATATAAAGTCAGATGCTAACTGCTAGCATGATAGGCCTGTTATCAGGGGGGTTTTATACATGGGGCCCCTCTGTTTGGCCCCTGAGACAGAGAATGAGAGGCGCTGCAGTGAAAGCCTTTCTGCTTTGTAAACAGGTGAGAGCAGCAGATAAACATTTTATCAACGGCTCTTCACCTGTTTGTTCGTTTCTGTTGCTGCCATCTGGTGTGAGGTCACCTGACCCTGGCCTCAGCCCTGAATCCTGCCCTGACCCTGACCTCAACCAAACAGAACGCAACACCGTGTGAAGAAGCAGCATATAGCACAGTGCTGCCTGTGGGGGGCATTGTTCATAGAGATAACATCTCAGAATATCTTTTAATCAAAGACTAGTCGCTAACATAATAACCACAGGTGGCGCTGTGATGTGCTGCTTTTTACATTTCTTGAAAACCTGCTAACCCAGTGGGACCTGTGTGTGTTTCAGTGTGTTTCAGTGTGTGAGTGTGTATTAACCTTGCTCTCCCCTCCTCCGCTGCCGCACTCTCCCTTGTCATACCACCACTTGTTTTTCAGTTTGTCCAGCAGCCCCTGCTCGTTCAACTTTAACACCGCCAGGTTCACCGCATTTCTACATGAACACAGCGTCTGTTAGCAGCTCATTGTCGTCAGTCCTCCTGCTGGTGTGCACGTTAGCATGTTAACTTAGCATAAACAGGATACACACAGCTGGATGAGGCTCTCCCTCTTAGCAGCAAACTCAGATTAGCTAAAACATGTGTCAACAGCTAAGCTCTGCCTGCTGAATGCGAAAAAAATATAATGAAATCAAACAAAATATAAAATGAAAATGATGTGTAAAACACTTGTCTTCATAAAAAAAGTTAGAATATAATGTTGTTGTTGTTTTTTAAATAAAACATCGGTTATTGAATTATTTTTTTTCTATTTGATGTTTTTTTTAGCTTCACGTTGTAAACTAGCTCTGTCTTTCATTTTGACAGAAATTGCCAAAAACCATGTTCATTAATTCATTTATTTTTGCTTGAAATGTGTTCCAGTATATCTATTTTTCGTGTTTGGTATGTTAATGTTTTTAATCATAAAAAATATATAGTATCTGGGAACAACAATCTGATCAACCAGCTGATCATTCTGTGTTTTTTTTTTTTTTAATGAAGAGAGATCATTAAAGATACGCTGAGTTTGTTCAACCTACCCTGGTTCATATACAGTTTGTATATTATAAGATTTTTTTTATATGTTTTAAACATTTATAAGTCAGATATAGTTGAAGATATGAGTTTGTTTCATTCATTTTCTCTTAATATTTTAAATCTTTATTTTCAAACACTGCTCTTTATGTTCCAGTTTTATTTGATCAGAAGAAACTTGGACATGTTTTTATTTAATAATGAAGTCATGTAACTATAAATATCATGGGGAAATCATTTTAGATACAGTTTGATAATATTCTGATTGAGTTCTTGACTTTGTTCATGTCTGTGTGGTTCTTTGACTTTTATATTTTCTGGGTGTCGGACAGTGACATGTTGGACCTGAACGTGAAAAAACAACACAGAACTTTAATGTTGAATACAAATCTCTATTCTCTTTAAAGACTGTTTTCAGTGCTTATACAGACAAATAATCTGAACTACTTTAATACAGCATTGTTAATGAAAATGTTTGCACAATTTTAAGCTTTGTTTAAAGATTCAGTTTTCATTTCTGTCAAACTCTCTCGAATTTTAATCTTAATGGTATCTTGATTTGATCTCATTTTAATCTTTATTGTATCTTTATTTGGTCCAATTTTATTCTTAATTGTATGTTTTTTTAATACGATTTGATACACTTTATTGTTCCCTTTGGGAAGTTTGTCTTGGACTCGAGTACTGAACACAGTAGAATCAATTAATCAAAACACTAAAAAAATATATCTTCATTGTATCTTTAATTGAGCTAAGTTTAATCTTTATTTAAATGTAAGATTTTTAACTATTCAGTGGTTTGTTTCTAGAGAAGATTGCTTTGTTTCTGCTCGTTTAAAAGATGATTTAAAATGTCTTAAAATAATTCAGCAGGAAGAGCAAGTTCATGATTTCATGACTAAACTGTTTCTGAAGAGGTTTTTTGTGTCAATACCTCGAAGAACTTTGTCCATAGTAATCATGTATCATGTGGTGGGAAATGGAGGTTAATGATTTCAGATATAATGCCCATTAAATATTCTATCACTGTGAATAATAAGCGGGACAGGGCTCAGTTCACTTTGATCTGATTGGCTTTGGGGTTTTTTTCTGATCTGAACCCGCATTTGACAGAACATAACATATTATAACATTACTTGTTGTGTAAAAAAAAACATAACAGTGAAAACAGTGAAAACATGTGAGGAGCAGAGACACAGAGAGTGGAAGATAATGTTTGAATAATTCATAAAGAATTTAAATCAGAATAAATAATTATTCTGACCGGGGTTGTATGAAAATAAAAATGTGTCTCTGGTTCTACCATGTGAGAGTTCAACAGTCAGTGTAGGACAACATAAATATGAAATACAATACTTAAAGCTCCATTAAGTCAATTTTTTACATTTTAAAGTTTGCTAGTGCACGTTATGTATTCGTCTGCCTTCTCATACTTTTGTGTTGCTATGACAACTAGGACCCGACCGATATGGAATTTTCGGGCCCAACATCTTTCATAGATCTATGTTCAATCTGTGGACATAGATAGATATTCACATGTATTGTGTTGATCCCTCAAGTGCAGTTATCAAGCATAGGTGAAAAGATGTATAATGAAAATAAGATGGTTACTCAAATGGAAAGTAACTTTGCATGTATGTGCAGCAACGCTTGACACTCTGGAGAGTGTTAATGCCTGTTGTTATTGATATAGCGCCCTCTGCTGGTGACAGCCAGAAAGAAAACTGCTAGTGTAATTCAATAAAATCCAAATGAAATGCTATTTAACTGGTGAATAAATCGAGTAATATCGGTGCTAATCTGCGATTAAAACAGCCGATACTGATAGTAACTGGATATGCTAATATCGGCTGATATTATTGGCTGGCCAAAAATAAATGTGGTTTAATGAAATGGGCAAGTTGTGAATGTACGGCACAATACGGCACTGTTTTACACTAAACATTATAATTCAACCAGTTCAGTTGCCTTTGGATCAAGCTTCAAATTTACCATGAGCTGGATGACTGGGAATCTACAAAGACATTATACAGCCGTGTATAGACTAAACATTATACAGCTGTTATAGACTAAATATAGGAGACTTAATGATAACCACCTGGAAAATATGACTTTTAAAACGGCTGTTAAAAAAACGCTTAATGAAGCTTTAACTGCAAATCTGACAGAAATAAATTATTTCTAATAAACAACTGCAGTGACCAAAATTAGAGAGAGGGAGAGAGAGAGAGAGAGAGAGGAGAGAGAGAGAGAGAGAGAGAGAGAGAGACATACAGAGAGAGTGTTAGAGAGACGGTCGGGCAAACATCTGTTGTGAGCTGAAAAGACACAAAAATAAGAAACAAACTCATTAATAAGCATGCACACACACACACACACAAACAGAAACACACACATTCAACACACACACACACACACACACAGAAACACACAGACACATACACACACAAACACACACAGACACACACACACGTGTAAGTTATAATGAACATCTGCGAGATTCAGGTCTTAAAGAAGCTCATCATGTGCAAAACTTCCAACATGTGAGAACAACATTACATTGGTTTCAATGATAATTAAAATCAAAAACAAATTGAATTACTAAAACAGCAGACAGAGGCTGAAATTCGGACTATCATTACATATTAAAAGATATAATAAACAAAAAATGTCTGTGATGAAGTCATTAAGATCTGATTCCCCCCCCCTCCCCCCACCACAGTCATGGCAACCACCTGCACCTTTGGTCTGAGGTGGTAACCACAGTGACATACAAACCACAGATGAAGTCATCAGGTAGGTGGATTATTATAACAACGATTAAGCCGCCATGTGTCATTCATCACACTCGCATACTGCAACAGCCAACAGGCTCCGAGCTGGGCAAGACTACACCGCCCCCCAACTGCCCCCCACCCATACTGGTCCACTGTACTGGACAGTCACCCTCCCCCAACCCCCATCAGATTAAGCAGACTTTCCTTCCTTTTTCTGTATTTTACTGTAAACTCCGATTTACTGTAAACTCTGATCTGTTTTAATCTAAACTCTGATCTGTTTAAATCTAAACTCTGATCTGTTTAAATCTAAACTCTGATCTGTTTAAATCTAAACTCTGATCTGTTTTAATCTAAACTCTGATCTGTTTAAATCTAAACTCTGATCTGTTTAAATCTAAACTCTGATCTGTTTTAATCTAAACTCTGATCTGTTTAAATCTAAACTCTGATCTGTTTTAATCTAAACTCTGATCTGTTTAAATCTAAACTCTGATCTGTTTTAATCTAAACTCTGATCTGTTTTAATCTAAACTCTGATCTGTTTAAATCTAAACTCTGATCTGTTTTAATCTAAACTCTGATCTGTTTAAATCTAAACTCTGATCTGTTTAAATCTAAACTCTGATCTGTTTAAATCTAAACTCTGATCTGTTTTAATCTAAACTCTGATCTGTTTAAATCTAAACTCTGATCTGTTTAAATCTAAACTCTGATCTGTTTAAATCTAAACTCTGATCTGTTTTAATCTAAACTCTGATCTGTTTTAATCTAAACTCTGATCTGTTTAAATCTAAACTCTGATCTGTTTAAATCTAAACTCTGATCTGTTTAAATCTAAACTCTGATCTGTTTAAATCTAAACTCTGATCTGTTTAAATCTAAACTCTGATCTGTTTTAATCTAAACTCTGATCTGTTTAAATCTAAACTCTGATCTGTTTTAATCTAAACTCTGATCTGTTTTAATCTAAACTCTGATCTGTTTAAATCTAAACTCTGATCTGTTTTAATCTAAACTCTGATCTGTTTAAATCTAAACTCTGATCTGTTTAAATCTAAACTCTGATCTGTTTAAATCTAAACTCTGATCTGTTTTAATCTAAACTCTGATCTGTTTTAATCTAAACTCTGATCTGTTTAAATCTAAACTCTGATCTGTTTTAATCTAAACTCTGATCTGTTTAAATCTAAACTCTGATCTGTTTAAATCTAAACTCTGATCTGTTTTAATCTAAACTCTGATCTGTTTTAATCTAAACTCTGATCTGTTTTAATCTAAACTCTGATCTGTTTTAATCTAAACTCTGATCTGTTTTAATCTAAACTCTGATCTGTTTAAATCTAAACTCTGATCTGTTTAAATCTAAACTCTGATCTGTTTCACTCTAAACTCTGATCTGTTTAAATCTAAACTCTGATCTGTTTAAATCTAAACTCTGATCTGTTTTAATCTAAACTCTGATCTGTTTAAATCTAAACTCTGATCTGTTTTAATCTAAACTCTGATCTGTTTAAATCTAAACTCTGATCTGTTTAAATCTAAACTCTGATCTGTTTCACTCTAAACTCTGATCTGTTTAAATCTAAACTCTGATCTGTTTAAATCTAAACTCTGATCTGTTTTAATCTAAACGCTGAGCTTTTTCACTCTAAACTCTGAGCTGTTTTACCTTGAGCTGTCTTACTGTAAATTTTGAGCTGTTGTAGTGTAAACTTTGAACATTTTTCCTTTAAAATCTGAGTTGCTATGCTGTTTGAAGGGGGAGCGTCAGTATGCTAGGCAGCAGGTTAGTAGTGTGAATGGTACATGGCAGAGCAGGTTGGCTAGCATTGTTATACTGATCCACCCACCTTAATGGGGATCCTTTAGGTGTGGCGATGCCATATCCTTTGGAGTCCAGGTTTCCTCCCACTTTCATGGTGTCACAGGGTTTCCTCTGCTCGATGTACTCGTTCATGGTGGACTCCAGCAGGTAGGCGTACTTCCCTTTGGACTTCCTTACTCGCAGGACACCCTCTGATGTTTTCTTCACAAAGACTGAAGGTTCTGCTGATTTCATGTACTGCCACATCTTGTCAAACAAGGCGATTTTGGAGCGCTACAAAAAAAGAGAGACAGACACAAAGGCTGTACTAGGACTCAGTTTGTATACTACGGACACCTTTCAGTACTGGCAGTCGCTTAATTAAAGAAAACTCTATGGTATTCAGGAGTCTTCTAGAAAATTGTGTAGCGAAGACATCTTTTAGAATATTTTAAAACTCTTTTGTTGGGATACTGTTAAGCAGTGGAAATAAACCTGAACCTCCCACCACCAACTCCGATGAGGAGTTTGAAGATCCAGGGGAAGTATTGTCTAAATCCATGGCAGGAGTCACTGAGGAATTCAGAAGGATCCTTTGCTGTAGGTGGCCAGGTGTGAACGAGGTTCACCATGTAATGCTGAAGCCTCTGGACATGTTCTGTCTTTGCTGACATGCCTCTTCAAGTCTTGGACAGTGCTACTACTCAGCCTGTCGGGGAAAGTTTATTCCAGTGTCATGGACAGGATGCCCTGGTTTAATGTCTTACTTTATCTTAGTAAGGGTAGCTGTTGTATTCTCCTCTGTTTCATCATAAAATAAATGAAGAAAGATAAAGTTGCATATTCATCCAACAGACATTGGGGATGAGGAGGTGCTGTAATGAATTAAACAATCAAAATGATGGACTGAGAGGAGGCAGCAGGTAAAGTTGGGAAATCACTTCCCAGACCATCAGAAGCAGATCCCCTCAATGCTGCGTTCATTCCCCTCTGTCCCCTCTCCTAGTACACCAGCATCTGTTCCTCTCCTGGTTCACAATTATCTGTACCTCAGTCCTGTACTGCTAACATCTACTCCTAGATAATATTACACAGACATCTACACCCCCATCCATTTACACAAACATCTGGCCATCCATCTGGGTACACCAATATCTGCACCTCCATCCTGGTCCGCCAACATCTTCTCCTCTATCACAGTAGACAGACCTCTTCAACACCATCCATGAACACAGACATCTGGCCATCCATCCTGGTACGCCAACATCTTAATCCTTGTACACCAACCCCTGCTCCTCATCTGCCGCTCCATTCTGGTCCACCAACATCTTCTCATCTATCATAGTACACAGACATCTGCTCCTCTCCTGGTACACCAACATCTGTTCTTTTCCTGGTTTCCTGGTAATTTCTTCTGAGTTTATTACATTTAGCAAGCCTGACACTTTGCATAAGAGGTAGCTAATAAGTGACCAGAAGTCCTCACCCTAAAGAACTCCTTGGTGGATCCGGAGTCCAGGGTCCCGTATGCAATGTCGGTCTGTTTGGCCAGATCTTCAGCGCTCTCGATGGGGGAAACCATCCTCTCCACCGTCAGGAAGGCCGCCAGGTTAGCAGTGTACGAAGAGATGATGATCAGGGTAAAAAACCACCACACACCGCCCACAATCCGGCCAGACAGAGACCTGACACAGAGACAGATACACACGCTGTGTCAGTCAAGGAAAACTCAGAAGAATGTGTCTTAAGATCAAGATCTCTTATATTACACATATTGAAGATGTCTTTATCTTTATCTTACTGCACATGGACACTTGCAGAGTGCCATTAAGTGACATCATTTAAACAAGGCCACTTTCTCTGGTTTCAATGTGCGGCCGGAGTTTAAGAAAATACATATTTTGTTGGGGCTTCATACTGACCTTGGTGAGATGTCGCAACCTTGCCTCATAAAAGCCCCAAGAGAAAACCAAAGGGAGTTAAAAATCCCAAACTCATTAGTAGATTCGGTCGTCAGTGGCAAAGCTCCGTCCTCTGGCTCCTCTAATGTCCACTCATAGGGGCTGAATCTGGAAACCTACAAGATCACATCACCAGTTAATTCATGTACATCAAAACACACTGCCTTACTTTGGAGGAAAGGTTTTGATTTTCTTACATAAGAATGCACTCAAGAGAAAAGAAAAAGTTAAAGGTCCATACAGTCTTAGTCAGTGCCGAAAGTCTGATATTGTTTTAGAAAAAAATACTCCAGAGTCTGAGGATGCTTCACATTTAACCTCTTCAATGAAGTTGAACATTATTAAAAAACAACATATCTTTACAATAAAACCATCCTGTTTACTGTAAATGTGTGGCACATTTATACACATTACCATATAGACAGACAGACTTACCAGAAAGAGAACCACACTAACTCCTATGTATGCAAAGACAATGCACATCCAGATTTCATAGGCCAACGGGTCGAGGAAGGAGAAGACTCCTGGTTTAGATTTCTGCGGCTTCTTGATCATGATGGAGATTCCCAGAGACATGAAGGGTTTGGAGAAATCTATCACCTCCTCTCGAACCAGAGTGATCGTCAGGGGAGCGACAGCTATATCTGCTTTCTGACATAGTAACAGAGTTTAACAGTGTAAGATTTAATATGATTGATTGATTTAATTTCATTTAGAGTGTTAAAAAGTCATAGTGGACTTCAGTGACGTGATGGAAACAGATGAAAAAGTTTAAGCGAGACACTTGAGGTGATGATGGAGGAGCATCAACTCTTCATCTGACTCAGCTAAACAATAAAGGTTGCTGTCCTGCAGGGTCAGGGTTTGGGACATTCACTTGCAACCTATCTTGCAAATATCCTCACCAGCACTGACAATCAGCCACACACTGTCCTCATTGCTGACACTGCTGACCTTCACACCCTGAAAATAGTTGTGTTTTACTTAACCTGTAAGAAGTTTAGAATTGTTTAAATTAAATCAGTTGTGTCTACTCCCTCTTTTCAATCTCTGAGAACATATCTGTGAATAAAAACTATATATTCAACTGTTGAGCTGTGCATAACGATTTGCACTATTTAGTTAAAAATGTGTTGACTGACACGTAAACCTCAAGTGTTAACTCTCATGACCCCTCAGAAGCCCTGCAAGTTTTAAAGGTGAAGCTCAATTTAAATTTTTCAAGCAAAATAAACCCTGAAAAAAGTTTCCCTCCCTTCCTCATTCTCTGAGTGCAGTTTTGCGCAGAGTGCAGAAAGCTTTTCTCCACATTCAGATGCAAAACAAGAGCAAACTGCACAAAGCGTGCTGACTTTTTGGACGTGCTTGTGCCTGAATATCATTAACACAATGTGTTTTTTGAATTAGTCCTTGGAAACGGAGCAGATAGCAGGAAAAAATGGTGTGCAATTTTTGGAGCTATTACGACCACATTCAAGTCTTAGTGAATCAAGTCCTTATTGTTTAAACAAGCTCGAGGGGCATCCTTCAGCCTGACTGCTTCCCTGAACCCAGTTGCCAACATTGGATTCCTTGGCTGATGTCAGATGTCAGGCTCATAAAAAGCTCATGGTCAACTCATGTCAGTTGCCTAACTTCAGACAGTCCAGCACCTCTTCTGGAATTAAGTTCCAAGACCAGTGCTGTGCATGGACATTTGCACTCTCCACCCCATTCAGACTGGGGTTTCTTCCCCACCAGTGTATACATCCCTATCTACACTAGGAGTCAGCAGTCAAGGCCTCCACCTTTGCCTGCAACCTGGCTTGCAACTACATCCGACTCCCATACGTTAACCTGCTGGTGGTGAGCCATCAGAACAGCAGTACCATGTAACTCATTTTAGGCTGAGCATTGGTGAGTCCTATGGGTCAAGCCCACCTGATGCTAACTTTGCATTTCCCTCCCAGGTCATATTCAAGGACAAGAGCCCCGGTCTCCCTGTTGTGGGCAAGGTGCTGCAAAGCGCTACTTGAATGGGTCTTAAATGTCCCTGACAACAAATTCTCAAAATGTAGAGAAATATACATAAAATATACATATGGTATATTGCTCAAAAAGACCACCTCTCTATTTCACCTAACCAACAACTTTTTGTATTTTACACCACTTTGATGCTGCTCAGGTTTCACGGGATGAAAATAGTAGAAAATGTTTAACTCCAAAAGTTGAACTGTCCTGGTTTGTTGATGATGATGATGCTAAAGTGTTGTGTGTGTGTGGTGTGTGTGTGTGTGTGTGTGTGTGTGTGTGTGTGTGTGTGTGTGTGTGTGTGTGTGTGTTGTGTTTGTGTGTCTTAAAATCTTACCCCATAGACCAGCTCTCCAACCATACCATTCCAGATTTTGGTTTCTGCATCTCTGGCTCCATATTTGCCATCTCCCACAATCTTTAGCTGGTAACGTATCCCACAGTGCTTTGCGATTTCTGCAGCCAGGTCCACGCAATAACCTGCCATCAGTCGAAAAAAACAAAACAACATTTAAATCATCAGCAGAGACTGAACCAAGAAGTCCTCGTTATTATGGGGGCTTCACCTTTCTTGGTAAAGTAAATGTAATATTTAAATAATTAAAATAAGTAATGTAGTATTTATATTAATAGGAATAACTGAAATACTAACTTATTTTATGCAAAGTATAAGAGAACTTGTTTAATGTTATTAGATTATGGCAACACTGTGTTATGCACACTCATATACCCATACAACCACAGCAACACACTGTATAATATAGCATACCTTCATAACGATCGTTGTCTTGAAACAGCTCAGAATTTTTTTTCAGCATCACATAGGGGGCTTCCTATACAAACAACACACACAAACATTTGTTCATTCTTTGCACTTTTACCATGTCACCTGACAGTTGCACACACTTGTTTTCACTTCCCTCCCTCTGCAGATACCTGGCCTTGAACATCCACCTCCTCATCTGCCTCCATGTCCTGCGTCAGCCCTGCAGATATAAACTTGACTGTCTACTCATATCAGGTTTTTTCAAGTTGTTCCTGGTTTTATTTTTTATTTTCCGTTTGAGTTCAAGTTTTGGCTTTTACCAAAATGTAGACATGCACCTGTTGATCCTGGTACCTGGTCTTCAGAATTAAACTTGCTTGACCTTCCTTTGGTTTGCATACCAACGTTCACGTTATCAGCTCAGCTCTGGTGTGTCCTGATCTTGATTCCCCTGAACTCTAAACCTCCCCAGGAGAGGTTGTGGTCTACAATGTTCATTGTCAAGGCACACTTACACTAGGCAATCCATACCATGCCCAAGTATGTTTGACCCCCCAAAGTCCAGTTCATTTGACTAGTGGGCTCAAGGAAGCTACACTTCATTGGCCCTGGCAAGGTTGGACGGTGTGCTTCGGCAGGTTAAGGTTTCTAATGCATAAGCACAAGCACAGGTACAACGTGGACATGATGTAAATGAGATGGCCGTCATGCATGATCGAGAAATCCAGGAGTGTTTGATGGCAGTATCTACTCTAATTAGGCCACAATGTAAGTAAAGTTGCAGTCCTGTTCTGTGTTGTTCTCCATTGTGCTGACTCTTAAACCGCGCTTACA